AATAAAAATTGAAAATACTATTAAACAATTTTAGAACAATTTTAAAATATTTATTTGATGAATTTTTTTTATAGGGCCTGGATTATTTTTTTTCTTAAAGTTATAGACGGCATTATATAGATCACGTTTATTCAGAGGATTATTAGGATAGTCATGGCATAGTAATGAATATATTGACCCAGAATCCATTCTACCCTTAGTTACATATTTTTTGATGTCAAATAACATTTCAGAAGTTAGCTTGCGAAATTGTGGACTAATTTGATCAATCATAGGGGTAAGCGGGTGGTTATGTTTATTTTCAAAAGAATTAATTTTCACTATATTTATCGTCTTAGGTTGGGTAACGTTTAATTTCCAAGAACATCCAATCCGTTGGGATTTAGCATTATGACGTTTTGCAGGATCAGATGTTATTTTTGGATTATTGGTGCCAGCTTGGATACATATATATGTTGCTCTTCTAATTATGCCATTATCTATTTCACTAGTACGAATTCTATAACAAAATCTTTTTAGTCTTACAAATCGATTGAGCCAATCTGTGAAGGATTGCCAATCTTCAAACGAAAGATCCAGCACTAATTCTAACAAAGCTAATTCATTTTCTTGATCCTCATGTTCATCATATTCATTAGCTCCTTCAGCCAAATATTTATTATTGAGATAAGTATCATTATCAACATTACTGAAAGATTCAATTTCAAAGAGACGATCAATATCATAACCATTGCTGAAAATACTATCATCGTAAGCACCACCGCTATTACTAACTAAGGGTGTATTGCAACCAATATCAAAATAAGTGTCGTCACTATTACCAATTAAAGAAGTGTTGCCACTTTGACTAACTAAGGAAGCGTTACAACCAACATCAGGATAAGTGATACCATCCATATCATATAATTGTAAATTCGATGAGGCGGTATTCAAGGCACCAATAAATTCTTGAGGTTTATCTTCGATATGAAGTTGATTGTCATGTATTAAAGAATGTAAGGTATCGAATATAGGCTAATCGTTAGCTGCGTAACTAGAATTCGATTCATTATATACTCCCGGTTCTATGAAACACCATGTAGAATCCTAAAATAACAAAAAAAAGATATGTATATACGTACGTATTTGCCTTGTATACACATGATTTTTTAAAAAATGCTTACCGCCTCTAATGACTGTTCCATATGATTCATCGACATCCTTAAATGTGGGTGGTGTTGCAAAGTCGTTAAAACAATAGAGAGAAAAGTAATGGTTGTAAAGAAATGATGGAAGAAAGAAAAAAATAACTTATCGCTTGCAATATCAGCAATATTTATTCTACGCATCACATGATGACATAACCAGTGTTCGATACACTTAAAATTAACATTAATCGTAATGAAAAGTTAATTTATGGTCACATGACCCGTGTTCATGACACGTTGTGCGATATACTTTATTAATTGTAATGAAAAGTTAAATTAATTTATAGTCACATGACCCATGTTCATGATACGTAGTGTTAACTTAGAAATTTTCTAAAAAATATATATAATCTTTTATAAATTTTTAAAAAAACATATCCAGATAGTAAGTTTACTTTAAAATTTTTGAAAAATTTAACCTGGTAAAGTTATAAGAATCGATTTATTAAGTTTATATAACCGAATATATAAATTATAAGTTATTTTTTTATATTAAATAAATAATTTTAACTTAAATAATATTATATTTTAAATAAATAGAATTCAAAAAATAAAGTTACTGAAAGTTTAGAGAGTTTCAAAGATGAAGTTATTGCACTTAATAATAGTTTAAAAAACAATATAATTAATAGTAGTTTTGAAACTACTAATGAAAGCAATATATTTAATTATAATTTAGTAAGTATAAATATTATTATTATAGTTTAATTATTTTAATTTTATAATTTTTTTATTATGTTTACTGCAAAATTTTTTATTCTCGGGACAGTGTGTTTTTTCATTATTTGCCAATCACCCGATGTCGGGTGATCGGCCTTATTATTGGATAAAATTTAAT